CAAATGATACTTTGAATATTACATGTTAATAACTTGATTGGAATTATAACCTTGAATTGACAGTTTGATACTTTGAAAATTTTGAGCCAGCCCTACCCCCAAGGGCTGGAGGTGCTAGTTTCAAATCCTTTTTAGTCTGAAATCTGTATGCTAGATATTGAGTAAGGTGGTTTTATTGTTTTTTGTCACTTTGAATAATATTTCTGTTCATGTTAAAAACAAAATCAACTCTCTGTATAAATATATCAGGTGACCGTTAAGGCCCATGGGCCTCTTGTTAGTAGTTACAACTTTATGTTTTATACTTGATAATACACTTTATGTATCACCAATTATAAAAATAGATCACAAAATGACCAAAATCAGGCCAAGGTACTTAAACACCTTTTGATATTTTGTAGGGTAAGATGCATACCACAAGGACTACCACTTTCTGCCTTTTAATGCTTCTTTATTTTTTAAATGTCGTTTAGAACTTTACCGATAGAAATTTAAATTTCAAATTTATATTGTCAAGTAGCCAGAATATAAATGGTTGCTACTAACCGGAAGTGTTTTGAAAATCGGAGCTCTTCTTTTTCTGCACAAAACAAAATCATAATGACATAATCCTAGACTCTTTTTTTATTTCTTAATAGAGCAAGCTTATCCGTTATGGCCCGCTGAGGCATTTTAGAGAGCAATCGTTTTTAAAAATAATTAAAATCTAACATTACTGTTTTAACTTCCAATTTATTGTATGGAAATGGCAAATTTATGACAGATTTTCTTACAGTATTGTTTAGAAATCGGAAAATAAAATACACATATAATTAATATTGTTCCAAATCGTACACTTTGCTATTTTCACGATTCTCTTTAATTTTATTAGAGAACTGACGTTTTAACAGAAAAGAAACTTTTATAATATTGTTAGTAAATACAGAAAACCAAACAAATATACGTTTTACTCATTGCCACTACGTGTTTTTAGGACTTACCAGTGTTACTTGCGGTAAAAAGAATGAACAATCCATGTTTAAATGGTTACAAGGAATAAGCAAGCATCTATTAAAAAAATGCTTGTAGATGCAATAAAACCAACCCCAAACAAACAAACAAACAAACAACAAAGCACACGTTTTACTGCAACACTTGGTTCTTTCGTCGATTCAGCATAATGAAATCATATGCAGAATATAGCGAGAAGGAAATAAATGGCTTTAAAATCATTTAACACGTTACAGATCTACAACTTTGGCTTCAGCAGATAATTATCTTGTAAATCACGTCAGAATAACAACTTCCACCTTCATCGGTTCTGCTAACCTCGGGGATTGTTTATCCACCAGCAGTGTCAACAATTCTGTTGTACACGTGTGATAAACAAATTCTTTTTTTCAATGGCATCAGTTATAATTAAACAAAAAAAGTGCTGTCGTTTTCTTCCCAATTTCTATAAATACATCTCTGATTTGAATTACAGTTACAAACCCTGTAGACGTCATCAAAATTCGCATGCAGCTGGAAAACGAGCTTGCGTCACAGAAAGGAATCGACGTACTACGAAATCGCTACTACGACGGTTTCGTCAAGGGCGGGGTGCGGATCGTCAGGGACGAAGGGCCACGTGGGCTGTATAAGGGGTAAGTCACACCATTGTCACACCACACCAGTTCTGCCAGTGCACTAATTTATCTTCTTCTCTTCTGAATTTGTGTAAGGTAGATGCAATTGTAACACGTCAGTCACCATACCAGAACTGAAGACGGTCGACCTAAAGAGCGTCTGTGTAAGTCTCAAAAATGTATGAAAGGAGGTTTGGTTTCCAGAGAGCGAAAGTGAGCGTAACCTCTTGAGTATCGAGGATGGTCATTACCTGGAATCCAGACGTGCTCATGATCACTTTCGCTCCCTGCACTCTTGGAATATGTCACAGCAAAATCTAAGGCACGCGGCTAGCTATTGGATTGGTCTCCGGATAAAAAAGCCTGACCAATCGCTAGGCTGATACCTGTCCTGTGAAGATTAAAGAGGAGCGACACCCGACCTCATAGCCAGTCAGTTTTACTGTAACGCGACCGACATATTCTGTTAATGAACATCAGAAGATCAGACTAGTCTCCTCGTCTCGCCCAAAAGGTGGTCACACTGAGCCTTCGATTTTGCTATGACCAATTCCAGCGATACAGAGAGCGAAAGTAAGCGTAATCCCTGGAGTATGGAGGATGAGTAATGGCATGTACAGGGAAAGTGACATTTTTATAATTGAAGAAGTGACATAAAGTCATTATGCAAAGCTAGTCTTTATTATCGCGCAAACTATTTCGTATATTTTAGGTTGGTTCCCTCACTAATGAGGGAGGGAAGTTACAGTACAATACGTATGGGCGCATACGAGCCGGTGAAAGTCCTGTTTGGCGCCACCGACCCAGCTCACACACCATTGTGGAAAAAAATCTGTGCTGGCGCCCTCACTGGTATGTAGCACTGAAACTCAAATTTATACTTAGTGTTTGTAGATACGAAATAACCAAAATCAAACTTGAATGCGACATGCTTGCAATGCACTTGAAATATATGGGAAATTTGAAGGGTTGATGAAAGTTTGGATAGGAAAAAAATGTGTAAGAATAAGTACTGAAGCTTACTTACAACATTCGTTATTAAATAGTGAGAAACAGACGTTCCCGCAAAGAAATCTATGCGATTACATAATGGATGGCCAATGGCTTCTTAAATCACATAAGCTTCATATAAGTGCAACCACTGTCGAACACGGGGTCAATGAAATGACTACACAAGGTTACCCTGGTGGTATAACATGCTGTTTCTAGGAGCAATAGGAAGTTCCATAGCAACGCCAACGGATTTGGTCAAAGTCAGAATGCAGGGTTGTACGAAGTTGGCTGGGGAAACGCAAAGGTACCGCAGCACGTTTTCAGCCTTCTCGGAAATTATACGCCAAAACGGCGTGCGTGGTCTGTATGTTGGAGTGGGGCCAACGGTCAAGAGGGCGGCTATACTGACAGCTACACAGGTGAGATAATGAGCGTCTCGTTTCCTCCAGCCTGTTAATTGGAAGTTTAAAAGATATGAAATATATATGCTCTAGATTAACAAGTAATGTCATTTTAAGAGAAAATGTAGAAACTTTTTTTTTTTAAACATGAACGATTTTGCAACATCTTGCAAAGATCGAAACCAATATAGATCTACTTCGTAGTACAGGACGGACCATTGTCAAACTGTTTTTGTATTCTGATAGCGGAATCAGTCAAATGTAGATTAAAAAAAAGGTCTAAACATCTTCTGGAATGTTGAAGTTTTGTAGCTTATTATCTAAATAACCTTTATTTACACTTTTTATTTGTAATTTACATATTTGATTTAAAAACATTGAACTCCAATTACGAGAATTTCGAGATCTGCATACACACAATTTTTCTCCAGAACTTCAAATTAAACATACCAAAATATTCCTCTACTTCATATTTACATCTTCGAAATTTATGTGACATTTAAAACAATTCATGCAGCCAGTAATTTCACGATCTTTTATTTTCATTTCCTCAGTAGCAACATGTAAGTATCATTCGATACGCTGCTCCAGAAACAGTATTTATTAAAAATATTTTCTTGATAGATGTGTCCTGTTGACATTGAGATTCAATGCGATGGTTTTCTCTTGATCTGAATTACCCTATCTCAGTATCTACTAAAATAAATGGCCTTTCACTGGGTCTGGTGTCGTTTATAACCTACTCACTTTACTGGAGTTGAACTGGTGTCATGTGAGGTGTAAGAAACGCTCAGCCTTCCCATGAATTGGTTTCGCCTCCAGGTTTTTGAGGGACGTTCAGTGAGCATTTTCACAATACACTGATCGGATTTAAACATCAAGAACGGTCAAGCCAAACAAACTTACTATTCATCTAGTAATAAATGCAATTACATTTGTCGTTGTGTGCTTAAAACTAACACGGTATGGAATAATCTATATTGTTTTATTAGAAATAGGGCATGGCTTAGGTGCGGTGGTTAAATCTGCCTCGAAAAACCTTTTCACGATACATCGCTCTTTCATTCGTTTTCAAACCAATCGTATAACAGCCTTGTTTATTTAAAATTACGATTAAAATCATTATATTTATTTACACTTACGATAACATTTTGAGGGGTAAAGCTATCGTAAAGTTACGATAAATTTTTCACGTATGATTCTCGTAAGAATGTTTGTGAAACTGAACAAAATCGTATGGTTTCTCTTACGAGTAAAATTTGTCGTAAGATTTTTTGTGAAAATGCTCACCGATCTTTAGGTCCTTTTATTAATTTTTCTTCTTGTAATGAACTTTAGATCCTCTGTATATATCACATGAAATGCAAAGTGCCTTTTTTCGCTAACTTAGATCCCAACATATGACCACACGAAACACACCATCCTCAACGCTGGGCTGATGTCAGAGGGCGCCCCACTGCACGTGACATCGTCTATGGTGGCGGGCTTTATGACGGCGTTAACTACGTCACCGGTAGACGTCGTGAAGACCCGGATAATGAACCAGCAACAAGGGAGTGAGTACATAGCATTAGGTTGTCGTCTGCTGGTCCTGACACACGCACTGCTTGATACATTTTGTTACAGACAGGAAAAGTAAATCATGTCACGGGTTTATCACATAATTCATTGGTTGTGTAACGTATTTTGCCTGTTTGGCTCATGTAGTTGACATGGCACCTGTTTCATGAAGTTCCCCAATTACGTTTTCCCAGTGGAAAGTTTTCGAGTTAAGGCAAATTTTTAGGTCGTGGAATTTTCCCTTAACGCCAAAAATATTTGTTTCCAATGAAAAATAAAAAAAACCCACCAAGGAACATCGTTATACTTGGACCAAATTATATTGGATAATTAAATATAAGACATTAGATATGGCAATCGAAATGTAGTGTATATGTTTGATAGAAAGATTGTAATTGAGTGTAAAACAGACTGTATTAGAATTAGCGGTTTGTGTGTAAAGTGCGATTATAGCGAAATAAATCCCTAGCAGAATATAACGTCGGTACTAAGGTATAAATTGCATGCACTGGTATTAGGACCACATCAAGAAATACGTTGGTGTTAGTCTTGTTAACCATTGCGTTGTCTATGTACTACTAGCTCATTCTATTTTAATGCTATGTTTCCTGCATAAACTTAAATCTATCTGTATCTGTAAATTGTCCTTACTTGTACGTTAATATTTGAGTATTTGGAGTACTTTTAATGTTTAGGCAATGCATGTGGTTTATTTATATTGTAAGAGAGTTTTTATGAGTAAGGTCTAATAGTCGAGTACTTATGTTTTTTTTACTTATGTTGAATAATTAAGAGTTAAAAAATGTTCCATTATCTTGATTTACATATTCCTCATTACATTATTTTCCTGGCTATGTGAATGTGATGTATCAAACTTGAGACACTTGTCAGTTTAAAAAAGAAAATATGTTTTATCAACATTCGCATCTGTTGATGTTTATATCTTCAATTCATACAGTTCAGTTAATATGCCATCTCTTGACAGTCAACTCAGTCAGTTTTGAGTTTTACAACACAGCAGGTGGAAATTTGAACACAGACGCATATTATCAAGTGCTGGAAATTATAACATTTTTATCACAAAACTGCTTGTTTTACAGATAAAGTGTACAAGTCGGCTTTTGACTGTTTCCTCAAGACACTGCGGTCGGAAGGTCCTTTGGGACTTTACAAAGGATTTATCCCGAACTGGATGAGGATTGGTCCTCACACCACTGTCGCGTTTTTCATCTTTGAGCAACTACGAAGAGTCGTTGGTATCGACCCTATATGAGGTAGTGTGATTAGCATGAAATAGCTAGGACTGCTATTAAGCTATGTTAGTAGCATGTAGTTGTTAAGAACTATACCGATGTTTTTCAATTAAAAAATAAGTATATATGTACTGTGTAATTGGAGCGATATTTACCTGAAATGAGTGATATTTACCTGAAATGAGTGATATTTACCTGAAATGAGTAATATTTACCTGAAATGAGTGACGTGTTTACTTGAAAGAATATTTGAATATGAATACCATGCATCATGATCGCATCTGGTGCATCTATACAGGCAAAATTACTTCAGGTTAGTTTGACCTAAACAAATCTTGATTTGAAATTTAAATGAAGATTGTTTTTCATTTCTAATTCAGGTTAATTTTCAGGTCAAATTCAGGTCAAATTTTCACCTGTAATTGCATGTCTCGATGTTTTCTTTAGGTAAAATTGACTTGACAATTTGACATGTGGATGCCTAATGACAGAACAGAGTACTATTGTATAATTGGTAGCAGAATCATGTTGATTTATACCAGATTTGTTTACAATGTAAGAGAGAGAGAGAGAGAGTAAGGCCGGTATAATTTTCTGTATGTGACTTTCTGTAATTGTTTTGTTACACTTTAATAGATGTTTGTATTTTGGATACATGTGTTATCACATTTGACAACGACGTAAAGAAATTGCAAATACTCTCGGAAACTGGTTTGAACTCACATAGGCGGATCATTCACCAGTAATAATATTATGATGAGTTTTATCCTTTACAAGGCTTGATCAGTCGTAGTACTATTCTGTTGAACTTTTATTTCCTTGAAAGATTTCCTATCATATATTTTGAACACGGTGTTTCTCTAATAATGGAACAGAATCCTTTTTGATTACACATTTTTGTTTCTATAAAAACAGAACACTCAGTAGGTGAGCAGGTTACCCGTTCTCCTTTTGCTATCATCATTCTAATGTATCAAAACATTTTATCCCCCCCTTTTTATACAACATTTTCAAAATAGAGATTTATGCATTAATAGGTCAGATGGGAATATCTTTATTGCGAAATAATCACACTTGGAATAGTTTGTCGTGAAAAAATGTTATGTTAACTTTTTATGATTTTTTTTCCCGGATTTCTTTTTTTGTTTGTTTTGTATCATTGGAATAAGTGTACTTGGTATTGGTACATATAATTTATTGCAATAATTATTCGTCTTTTATAGGAAGTCTATACGTAGTTACACATGTTGTCATACAAAAGTAAAAAACCGCATATTTTAACTTGGATATAAACTATATTGTAATCAGAAAAGATAATGATAGCACGCGTTATATATAGTGTTATTTTTCGTGTGGTCGCCATTGGATATTTTTAAACAATTTGTTACTTTTTATTCATATGACATTTTAAAATATATCAGATATTCCAGATGCTTTTATTGTAAACAAGTTTGAACCTTGATTTTATTTAAACTTAAAACACGAATTTCATGTTTTGTATGTACATGGAATTTTCCTTTGATATTTTTATTATATTTAGTTTTACATTTTCCACATTGTATCATTATTGTTTTTACTGGTGACGTGATATTAACTGAAGTATTTGCAATGTATTTGCTTGACGTTTAACGGATACATTATATGGATAATACAGACGTATACAATACACGGATACATCATATATTGATATTATACTAATAATGACAAAGACGTAAACGTTACGTAGATATCATTCTGATATTATACGGAAATTATATTGATAGTGACAGTGGGACGTACTTAAGGTAGCAGTATACAGTAGAAATGGCCCGACTCTGATAAACAAGGCACATGTCGAGGAAATGTAAACACAGCGGATTTACCCTACACAACACATGTATACATGTATATATATTTGTAAACTGCATTACATTTACAATACATATAAAGTACTGAGAAGTGTATAAACCTCTTTTTTCTATGTATGTCACTTGTGTGAAAACCATGGTTACCACATCAAAAATTACCAAAAAATGCCAAAAATTGCTATTTTTAACCCAAAATTTGACCCCCGCAACTAGTAATTTTTTTCCTAAGCTCTGTCTGAAATTAAAGATTACCTACCTGGTTGCAGAATTATCTGGGTCCCAGTAAAGTTGTAAAACTTGATTTTTTGCAATTTTGCGTCGTGTGCTGTTGTCAAAATTTTACCTCCTGTAAAGCTAGCTTTTCATGTGTACGCACCCTTTCGGATTATGGCCAACATTTTATTCTCGAACCAAAAAAATCTTCTTTCTTTTTTACAAATGTGAAGCTCACATAGCCCACTTCATCATGCTTATACCAATTTTAGTACAGTTTTATTTTTATATTTGTTTTTACATATCATTATACAGGGGTTAGCCATTTAACAAAAATATCACCCATGGCCACAACCCTCTACTGTATACTGCTACCTTAATAGGGACAGTCTGATACAATGAAAATACACACCGGTTACACAGACTAGTTATACATGGTAAACCGAGATGCTTAAAGCAAGTTACATCATAAGTAACAGCTTCATAAATGCTTGCATATATCTAGTGAATACATGGTCAGACAATGAACACAGACACTTTAGTTTATTTTTAGTTAAACAGACCTTATATTTACTAACTATCCTTTTTTTATGATATATTCACTTGTATTTTGTACATTGAATACATTAAATCGGTTTACAAATGACGTAAAGCGTACGTGGACAACTTTACTTCCAGTGTTTCATTAAATGGCATGTCTTTAGCCTCTATTTCCTCAGGGAAGCTATATACATATACGTATATTGAAATGTTGAATAAATTTGTTTTGAAATAACGACAGATTGTTATTATGTATGATACTAGATAGAGCAGCCCCACTGTACGATGAATTTCTGAATAAGAAGGACCTTTGTTGTGCTATTACCTAACAGTACCAACAGCGTTATCGCGGAAAATGTCATTTAGAAGACTTTATCCGGCACAAAAGGACGTAACTACAATGTTACATCACTACCTCACACCTATGTTTCCATAACATTCTTACCATTGATATTTTCCTTACGCTACGGTAGGTTTTGATTTTTAATTGAAATGTATAAATCAAACGCTTTCAGAACAACTAACTTTAACAACTTTTAGTTAAGACTCATTTTTTCTGTATCTTATACAAATATTTGATATGTATACTGGTATTTTCCAATCGATCAACAAATACATAATCAATATGTTGTATCCGTAACTAATGCAAAAAAAAAAGTTAATGTTTGGATAGTTTGGTATAAATCTTAATATTTTCAAATCTTTGAACAAAGTGAGATTGTATTAGATCTGCAGATTTTAAATATATTCACTATCTTAAAACGCTCATCTTGAAAGAGATTAGGCTGGCTACTAATTAACGCGTATCTAGGTTGTCCGACCTGACCCAAACAAATACCAATACATGTTTTATTGTATATAAAAGGTAAAAAGAAAAAAATAATATTTTTACTCATTGGAGCTTTGCGGGTCTCAAAGCACATACATTTTGTAATAGTATTTAAAAACATTACAGGAAGCGAAGCAACTCTTCTGCAATTTGACATAACTTAGAAAAAACCCATTAATCTTTACCCTATAAAGAAGGATATCGACATTTCGGGAGGGAAAAATAAGCCTATATATGCATCTAAATCATAGAAGAGTAGTATTCATGTGTATGGTTTTCAATGTAACATCTACATATTTGGGGGTCGGTTATTTAAATAGCTGCAGTCAATACAACCGGTAACAATACACAAGATTAAACCTTTTTAAAATACATAGGTCAGGTCCGGTGTAACGTGAAATAGTGACCCACGTAGAAAACCTACCCGGGGTCCAAATTTAACGCGGAAATTTGACGGTTTCTATGGATGCTACAGAAAATTGTTTCTGTTCAGATTTCGACCGTAGAAAAATGACCCCGTGTAGCTTTTCTACAGGAGTCACGTTTAAGCTTAAGTTTACATAGAAATTTGGCGGATGGACGAGAACATTTTATAGTGAAATAAGATTAATATAATTGGTGTATGTTAATGCGTTTGGATTTCTTTATCCTAAGATATCCATCAGTTTTCTACGGAGGACTCTTTTCTATAGAACGAAGGGTACAAATTATACTTAATAATGTAGTTAGGGGGTATGCTTTTAAGGATGCCCATGTAGAATCTCTACTAAGAATTATGATCGCGGGTCAGATTCCAATCCTTTAAAAAATTACCTCCGGGTAGCTTTTCTACAGGAGTCACTCTTTCATGTTACACCGGTACATGTAATAATTTAGTCAACGGTATCGAAAACCACTCGGGTCTTTCGTGGTGAATTATTATAACCTTGAACTAATTATTTTATAATCATGCTGATCATGGATGTTGATTAAGCAAATTACAGGCCTACTCAAACGGCTGGATTGAATCCAAAATAAGTACACGTGATTTATTTTATTTGTCTTGTCAGCTCAATGGAATAAATCAAATGGTATGGAAGTATACGTGATGTGTTTATGCACCATATACTAACAGTTTACAAGTACAATACGAGTCACCTGGCTAAATAACGTGGAAACAGCTAATTGGTTGTTTGGACAGCGCTTTACCCTTTTTAGCTATGTGAATAGCATTCTTACCAAACAACCCCCTTCCTTTCTGTATGAATGGTGTTTCCATTATCCTATTTGCTTACTTATTTCGTGGATGACATTATCAGAATCCAATTACCCTTTCTAATTGTTGATAGTAATCTTAAAGCTGACAGTGCAAGTTAAAAAGCTTTCGATTGATTTTTTTTTTTTTTTTTTTTTTTTTTAAAAATATTTTTTTTTTGGTTTTGAGATTTTCCCCATATCTTCCGACTATCGTTTCTAAGGAAGTGCCGACATTTTCCGCTTATTCAAAAATCTCAATTGAAAGCTTTTTAACTTGCACTGTCAGCTTTTATATCCTATTTCTCTTCTTAGTCTTTTGGATAGCGTTAAGTTTCTCTTCCTTTTTGCCATCCACGATACTCCAGGGGTTACGCTCACTTACGCTCTCTGCACCCCTGGAATGTTACGTGAAAAAATCAAAGGCTCAGTGTGCAATGTGAATCAGACAAGAAGACACGCTTGCACCTTTTATGTACACCAAAATAACGGTTAAATTGACTTACTTTAAAGTCGGGTGTTGCTCCTCTGTAATCTTTAAAGGACAGGAGTCACCCTAGCGGTTGGTTAGGATTTGTTTTAACCTGAGACCAATCAATTACCTAACAACATGCCTTCAATTTTGCCATGACATATTCCAGGCGTGCGGAGCGTTCTGTGTATATAGCGATCCCAGTACATTTTAATGTTACCCTTCCTATCTGTTTAAACAGCGATCGTATTATATTTTTATCCCTCAGTTGTGTAAGTAGCGTTCCTAGCACCCTATTACCATTCCTCTTCTGTGTGGATGACGTTTCATATGCCATTTCACTCTTTCCAGCTGTGTTCTGAAAGTTAATTAACTAGATAGCTAAAGTTCAATTAGCATGAATATATGTTTTATTTTGTTCCATGAACTCCGCTATGAGGTAGTTTTGATGTAGGTCTCTGGAGTTTGGAAGTTACATAATGTTTATGTTTCTACAACTAAACAAGGCGATGCGACGAGAAAAAACAAGTGTATGAGGTAGATGTTTGTAATTGTATGTACATATATTGATGTTCGCTGTTCCAACGCAGCTAAAATACTAGATACATCCACTGTAGGTTTTCATTATTATAGAACTATAAATGTTGCAAGACTGGGCTAGGCTGTTACCAGGTACAATGTAGATGTCCAGGGGTCAAATCCTGATCAGGCTCCATTACATTTTACACTCACAACAGTATTGTTGATTTTTGTTGGTAATTTACCTTAAATATTATTTTTCATAACTTTCATTATTACAGGTTTATCCATGGTTTTCGTTCAAAAATGTATTTTACCGTAGCTATGGTCATGCCAGAAAAGAGTTTTCGATGCATAGTTACATTTTGTGACTGTGGAATGGGGATCCCTATTTAATATGTTGGAACTGTTTTATAACGTGTATATATTAAAATGACACGCGTATAACACATGATATTTTTATTTTATTTTGAATCCACACATGACGCAATGCAGTCATCATTATTTATAGTAGTAAGTAATACCCGACATATATGCAAGGGTATTTCCCAAACCTTGAATATTGAAGTCACGTCAGTTTGATAGAATGCCAAGATCTACATGGATATATTTATTGTAATGATAAACACTGCAAAAATAAATTGCTGAGGAGGCCTTAGATTCGGAACAACACCACACGTTGTGACATTATGTGATCGATATATAGGTTGTAATATATATGTAGCTCTCGTTAGCCATGAGGCCTGGAGCGCGTGGAAACGTTGGACCCCTAGTTAGGTTATTCAATAGGCAGATTGAATGTAGAAGGTGGGTCTATTGGTATCGAACCCCTAAACATTAACTGGGTCGTACTCAAATGTTAAGATAAAGTTTATCTTATGTTATATTTTGTTGTATGTATAACGATATGCATATATAATGATATATATTATTTTATTATAAAGGAAAATATAAAAGAAATAAAATAAAATTGGTACCCAACAGCAATGCTTGACATGATGTTGTAGGCATCTAATACATGTTTGCAAACTTAATAAATGTACTGTTGAAAAAGGTAAGGAGTTCTGAAATTCATGCAAAATAAATAATAATATAATTAATATAAATTAATGTGATTCCTCTACCAAGTGATGATGAAAAAACACTAATATCCTGTATAGCAATATAAAACCATCATATGTACACACTGAAGATAGTTCCCCACTCTTTAGATTAGTAAAGAACTATTCTCATTAAATATCTTATACAACAATCGTAAAATATAATTCATATGATCAGTTTCAGAATTATTACAATACATGTTTCTGCTAAGTGAGTCAACTAATTCAATAGTTTGGGAAATTATAAAATTTGTTCAAGAATGTGCTCTATTGTTAACTATACTGGAAAATAAATGACTATATACATTCCATTAATATATACAAATACCATTAATATGTACAAATTTCAATTGGTTACCATGACAACAATAGTCAAAACGAAAAATAAACTTTTAATAATACGGTCAAAGTATAAATTTTAGCGGAATTCTAATCTTAGCGTTTATTGTGCTTTAAACATTGCGGCATATTATACTTGCGCTAATTGACATATATATACAGTTTATATGTTATTGTTACCGCATCAATTCATTATTGCGCTAATCTGTTAAATGCGCTAAAATCGTGTCTCCTGCAGTAGTATCGAAGACGCACCAAAACAAAGAGAAAAGATAGAAAAAATGATGATAAGGAAATTCAATTTAAACTTTTGAACATACAGAGACCCTTCATGTGAAAAATAAATCCCAGTATTCATTATTAAGAGCAAAGTTTAGAAACATCGAATTCTTAAATTTGTATGCTGCTCTGGGACTGACATACATAATCACTCAGGGTTCGACCACTTTTCTATTTGCGATACTCTCTGGAGGCGAATTTCTGTCCCTTCTTATGTACAATGTTGTGGGATGCTGTTGACGGACCGGTGCCGACAAAGGCTTGCTGTCGCGGAGTGTTATATGCGCCGGGAGTATGAAATGGTTTTGGGCCAAGCCGTGGCATTCCCATGTCCGACTGGCGAGGAAGTCTAGGGCTTTCGCTTATTCTCTTTGTCTCCTTTGAATATACGGTCAGTTCTCTTCCAGACTGCATGTCATGACGCCACGATGGCAAACCGTTAGTTGGGCTGACACTGTGTTCTTTAAGTTCCTCAACTTCTTTCGATAGTTCATTATTCATTTTTTCAACAGCTCCCTTTTGTTCTTTCAATGTTTCAATTTTCTCGTTAAGATCCCGGATCTGAACTGAATCCTCTTGGTGTGTTTCTTTGCTTGATGCAATAATCCCTTCTAGTTCTGAAATTCTTTTTCTTAGACTTTCTATTTCCTTTTCCCTGCACTGGATTTCTGACAAAAACTTTTCAGCATCACTGGATTGGCGTTCCTTTAATATTTTCACTTCCTGCTGTGAAGAATTTTGATCAGTCTCAAGTTTGCCAAGATTCCTCGCTAGTGCACATTTTTCCTTGTTCAAGTCTTTCAAACGTATTGTGGTATCTTCGTACTTCTGTTTGAGTTTCATGTACTGGTCTTGTAATTGTGCATACATCGCTCTATCAGTTTCTCTGTCTTTTTTAAAACCAGCGATATCGCGTTGCCCAATCACTTGTGCTTCTTTAATATCCCTGAGTTCTTTAAGGACTTTATCGTTTTCTGAGGTAATGGTTTTTGAAATGTCACTGGTCACTTCTTGCAGCAACAGTTTGACCATATAAACAGGAATATTGTTTGTCTGGGCGGCATTTTTTGTCCTATCTGTAGGTGGAGAGGCTGTGAAGGCGTCCTGCAAACGGACGAAAATATTTGTTGCTAAATATTTACCAAGTATGGACTTATTTTGAGGTTAATATGTAGGTATATGAATTTGAGAAAGTGATATTGACCGAGAGGAAGTAGAAATCAATATCACTATCCTGATTCACGTAACACATATTCATCGGAATACAGGTCCTTAATTGTTATATAGATTTGAAATTAGTATGCTTGATCATAAAACAAGAAGGAGTGAAAGTAAAGCGTAAAGAGAAAAGTGCTGCATTTGGCAGAGAGCATTGTGACGTTAAAATCAAAGGGAACTCATGAATGGAATATTGACATGATGATGTTTCTAAAATAGAAATACAGTCTTAATATAATATATTACCAACCTGCACGTGATAATGATTAAACCAATAAATATGAGGGGATTATCATAAAATATAATATTACAATTAATCTATTTGACAACAGATACAATGTAGTGGAAATTTTCTTACTAACTATCTTTTACTTTCGTGTAGTTCGAATGACTATATTTTATTGCACAATTTACTACAATGAAAAGGCATAAACATATATAAACGAAAAAATGGGTACGTTTGAGATACTAGGGTATTTTGTGTAAATATTAGTCGGTACAATGTATTGCTATTTTTAAAATCTGACATAATGTCCTAACCGGAAAAACCTATCCACACACTGATGATATATGTATATTATATAAATAGAAGGATGATCTTATTAAATCACTTCTATAAATAGTTCCATGCTATGTTGGCCATAACCGAGGTGCTTTGACTTCTTCTGGTACATGCATGTACATTTAATATAAATATAAGAATAAATTATGTAATATGACTAGTTTCATATGCACTTTTCACCTTTTGATGTATCTCTCTATGTTAAGGAAATGTGTACATTGTTTTTATTCCTTTGCCCTAACAACGATGAGTCATAAGTTGACCAAATTGCTTTAGGAATCCGTTAATTGTTTACTTTGCTTTGTTTCCTATATTTTGGTTTTATTACTTCTTATATCTAGTGATCATTTGAGCTACTAACCTGTGTAGTTGATGCCGTTTCCGGTGCATTCGCAGTAGTTGTTGTAACTAAATGAAATTGAAATATATAAAAGAATAAAATGCTATTATAAGATTAACGTTGTTCTTGACAGAGTTAAGTGAATTTTACAAGAAAAAGACAAAATATCCCATAAAGTAGAAAACTGATATAGCCTGTCCACTGTTCAGTGCATTTGATCGTTGTTATATTTTGAAACGAAGAAAATAAGTTCCATAAAATACTTTATTACATAACTAACATGCTATAAGATTCAAGAAAAACTTCAGTAAACATAAAACACTTACCGTGAGTAGCAATTGATAGCCCCTTCACAACTAGAGTTACATTATCTTCCATAATCGATGGTTGATGATAGTGACTGATTGTGAAAATGAGAACAGGACACAACAACCTGATCTGCACTTAATGGACAAGGCTTATATACACACATCAATTTTATATAGTGGCATATTATGATAGGTGTCACCTTATTAAAAACAGGCATTGTGTTAATTTGGCACGTCGATCTAAGCCCACATTGTTCTGTATATTATTTCGATGCATACAAAAGGTATTGGTTAATAGGGAACTTCAGGAAGTCCATTTGGTAAACCAGTAATATGAGTGTAAGATCATATTAATCTCATTCTGCAGGATTAGTTCTATGAGGAACTATGATAACAGATCTTTCTGACAATGCAATGATAGGTTAAATTTCTTCACATTAAGAACTTTACTAGTAAATATGTGAAACAACAGACTCACTTTGAAGGTTGTCTTTTATACACAACAATATGAAGTGTAGATCAAAAGTTACCCAAAGGTGCATTTACTGTGTACATGACTCGATCAAACAGATAAGAGAAAAGAAGAGAACAGATCGAGCTAAAATATAATTAATGAAGTTGGTACAAGAGTTGGCGCCAAGATCCCTCTGGGATCACTTGTTGAAGAATGGCAATACTGTCATCGCTAATGAATATGTCTTGATTTGTCTTTGATCTCCTTCCAATCGTCCATTCAACGTTGTCAAGAGATAGGAAGACAAGAGACCACCAGCAGTTGTAATCGATTCTTAAATGTCTAGCCCTTGGCCTGTTGCAAGCTTCGAGTTAGAAAATCAGGACTTTCACCACTCGGATCGACATTTACCTGTCATAATCAGGATAGGCAGATATTATGCTGATCAATTTATCTTAAAACTCAAAAAACGTTTGTTTTATTTTCAAATATGTCAACAAAACAATTTAAAAAAAAAATCAATAGTAAGTGTTTTACAACAATTTTTCAAACAAGATTTATTAACCGTTATTAATCACGTTTGTGGGCCTGTATGATAAAGCACTGTGGTCTTTATGTGGAAGAAAAGCAGGAAGTAGCAAGGGGAATCTTGTTCACGTCATCTTAGGGAAAGGAACCGCCACTCGAGTACGAATTTATGAATACCCTATATATAGTTAACTTATTGTCAATTTTTTTAAAACAATCTTCGCTAAAGAATTTCTCTCAGGTTACATTTCGCTTTCCTGACATTTCGAGACATGTACTATAAACAACCACGTTTACACAGCTTACGTTAATTTAACACTAAGGCTACGCTCAAGAGATATTACGTTTTTGTCCTATCCGTCCGTCTGTCTGTCGTTCCGTAATGTTCATTACCGTTACTTAAGCGCCTGAATGTCTTGACAGATTTTCATTAAATCTTACGTGTATGTTTGCCTTGGAAGTATATAATACGTATTCGGCGTGATCGGTCTGAGATCAAGGTCGCTATTACTAAAAACAAAATGTCACTATCACGTTCCTTGTCAGCATCCATGCGGCCGTATTTCGTGACAGATTTTCATGAAACTTCACATATTTGCTTAGTCTTGGTTCTTTTCCCTAATATCTCATATCATTTTTTTAATTGATAGTATTATCTTTGATCATCTAAGATGAGCTTGTACTAGCAAATTCTATGTTTATACGTTAACTGTGCGTTATATATAATAGTAACTCAAAAATCAATATCAATACTTGTTCTACATTGGTATACTACAAATCGATTAGTCATTGAGTTTAATAGTTACAATACTATTTATCTTCAACATATCAACTTAGGTTTTAGATCGAATTAAGGAGATTCAAATAAAGTATGTGTCTGTATAATGACACTGCGCGATCAATATTTATAGTCATGGTTTGATCTTTTGTCCATATTGGATTAGGTAAGATAACAAGTAGAATGATAAAGCATTTTTTATAGTGGTTATCGCTTGGTAGTTGTGTATAGGATTTAGGGCATTATAATGAAATGTCATCATGACATGATTTATATATATTTATATTCTTAAAATGTCTAAAGTCGTTGTGATGGTTAATGTAAACAAAATGAAACAAAGAGTTTCCCAGTAGCATAGTAGTAGAGGTTAGAAACTCGTTGTTCTTTTATTTTTCTTAAGTATACAGCAATTGAAACATTCTTGTTTATTTTGTTCAAAAACATTACATCTTCAATAAAAGTCTTAATTTTCAAATTCCACAATTTCTTCATTGTTAGTAAAATATAATGGGTTAATCGGTAGGGGTACGTCTTAAGTTATTGCGCAATATAATGTACTGTTTTGCAATTCTATCTGAAGCATGATCTTTTTAATCAAGGCCATGTAATACACAGGAGATTTACGGACTACGTGACCCCACCACTGGTCGAGGTTGCTTACCCTCTGCAGGAGAGGTACATGGCCCAGTTTTGCATAGTATGTATCAAGAAGAACGTCTCAAGTATTGAAATGAAGTTTATGTCAAATTATAAACACGTGTATGGAGATATGGAGTATGACGATGTTGTAACTTTAATAGCAGTCCTCTGTTATTGATAAAAATCAAACAAACAAACCAAAACATCATAAAAATAAAACGAAATTGTTTATAAAATTACAAAAATATCAATTGCGAGTTATTTAATGATCACGTCGAAAGTTTATATTCTGAAAACTGGAACAGAAGGGAGGCACTGGAATGTCAAAAAACTGGGCAACCAAATTAAATCAGCAACCAGGAATTAATTAGACCCAATATACGCTGTTAACGGATTATTATCTAGTAAATCAAACCCGTCTATTAACTTCTGATATGGAGGTTATACCGCCTATCGTTTCAATATAGACTCATATCACAATATATTTGGTTACGGTCCAATATTTAGCATTGTATTCGACATAATATATCTCTGGTAATTGTTGGCCTGTTAATGCTATGTGATTGAATACTCTGCAGGCTAACCATTTCTGTATAAGAGACGATTCAAAAGCCAGTTGAGCTTTCAGAACGCTAGATATGTATTTCTCCAGCTTCTGAAAGGTACGTTTATTTTTTGTAACTTTTTATGTTTCAAGTAACTTAAAACTGAATACGCCAACTCGTGTGATTGAGACACTACTATTCTCATTAGACTGGCGTGTTTGTATGTATAGGTGAGTGATAAGGGTTGTGTATATACACACATTGGCTTGTTAGTGAGTACACTAGCTTGAGGTGTGTATATTTATTCGTATTATAACAGTTAACTCTAGCATGAACGTTGAACTTTATTTTTCTGCCTTAAACAAAAATGACGATGATTTAGATGATGTCATGGTATTTCTTTCTCTTTTTCTGACAGGTGAATTTCATTTGAGCTGAATAGAAATTCACATTTTAAAGTCGCAGCAACAACCAGTTTTGCCAAAATCATCTTTAAACGTCTTTGTCAAAATGTCGAGCGAACTGCAGAACCAGGTTGATTTTAAAATAACAACTTCCGCCATGCAAAAGAACTGGAAATTGTTGAAGCAGATTCACGTCAATGATATCCTTGATACTATGATAGAACAATCTCTCATCACCATTGATGCAAGCAGAAATATATTAAGAAAGGAAACAGAAAGCCAGCAAGCTGAAGCTCTTTTATATATGGTTTTCAGTAAATCACAACCCTACTTGGACGCATTTATGTTTATTCTTGCTAACAATGGACACGAGTTTATCGTCCAGAAACTTCGAGAAGGTAATTGTTTGACTATGAAATGTTAACGCGATGACATTTGAAGTTAACTTAAATGTTTGAATCATGTTTATGTGACGCTTCTTTTCATGTTGATTGTAGTCGTGGCACATATAATTTTAACTAGCCATATTAATTGTCTGCGTAGTACTGTTCAACTGAAATTTAATATTAAAAATATAGGGTTTGTATGCTCAATAGAATACTTGAAATTTTCTCTGAAAAGTTTTATGATATAACGTTATTGTTCCACAGATCTGGCAACTGAAGCCTCAAACGTAAGTTACTTGTTTTACATATCCAATATTTTGTTAAAGACAAAGTACGTAAAAAAGATAATTCAAATATCTGATTTTAGCATTTTGTGATTTATTAAATTTTCATGTGTAAATAAGTTAATAGGTTTTATAATGTAGGTTATCCTTTACAATAATCTCTTCTGTATGTTTTTGTTCCAACTGAGTATGATATATTCTAGATTCTGAATACATCTTTAGAGGATCGACGACCTAAAACATCCGGGCAGCAATTAGGTAGGAGTGACAGTGGACCACTCTATATACAGCGTCAGTTTAGTGATGCCGTTCAAAATGAAAAAGAAAACGCTTCCAGGAAACAGTTTATGGAAGAAATGAAAGCTGAGATGCAGAAGCAACAAATGGAAACTATGGAAAAACAATTCGAATTACTGAAGCGGCATCAATCCGAGGAGACAATGAGGCAGACACAGGAATTAAGGAAGCACAGTGAAAACATCATACAGGCAGAATTTACTAAACTGAAACAAAGCGAAGATCAGCAGAAAGAGAACGAGGCCAAAATAGAAAGGCTGGAAGCCCTGCTGAAAGCCCTGCAGAACAAATTGGATCAGGAACGTGCAAAAATGAAGAAAGACACAAAAAACACAAATGAAAAAATTCAAGAAATACAAAAGCAGAGAGATGAGCTGAAATTGGAACTAATTCGGGCAAAAAGAGAGTTTACCGACGCTTTGAAAAGAGTGAAACAAGAAAATCTCTACCTTCGAAACCAAATCAAGCAAGAGAAAATCAACCAAGCTAACAGGTAAAATATCTTGTTTTTTTGTATTCTTTCATATGAAGTTACATTGAAGTATTATAAAACAGAAGACAGCGGAATGTGCATTAATTAATGGCCTATGATAATAAAACTTGAAAAATGATGAGGAACCTCGGAACACATGTTAGAAAGAAAAATATATAAAACAGATCGTTTGACGGGGAGAAATATGAGGAGATAGGGAGGGGGCGTTTTGGGTACTACAAATTCCGTTATTTTGTTATTTTTGACAATTTGATACGAATGAGCGTGATAGATGAACATTCGTCAATTAACAACACTAACACACAATCGTAGAATAAAATTAGAATTAAATACATAATAATTATGTAATCACGAAATAAATAAAGCTAAGGAATGAAATCAGAGAATACTGATGACGTTCAATTAGAATTATTTCTTATCATGTAACGTCTATTTCTTACCCCACGTATACCTTGGCTGGGATTATGGTTAGTTAGAGAATCAAAATTTGTAAATTTTACAACGCTTATCTTATATATGATTTCTGATTAATAAGATTATATGATTTCTGATTAATAAGGGGAGTGAAATTGAGAAACAATATAAGCCAGACAATTAGGTATGACGATCTATGGTATTGAATTTTAAGACATGTAAATGAATGAAAGATTCATCAAGGAATGAAGGAGCGAGAGGGACAAACCTTATATCAAATTATCAGTAAAAAATATACCTTTACAAAAAGTCAGACAGAAACGGAGAAACAGCTTCTTTTTATGATACACTTTTGTCAAAATGGTTGAGAAGTTCTCAAACCTGGCAGTCGTAAACCAATGTTCCTTATTTTGAAAGAAAGAATGAAAGGATTTTAAACCTAAAGTATCATACTAACGTATGTGTTTTCTTTTTCTTTCAGCAACCAGAAAATAATAAAGAATCCGTAAGTAAAATTCCTCATCTTTTACTGTCTTTTTATTGTCCCTTGTTTTTCAAACAATATGAAGTAAGACATTTCACAGAAGGACAGCGAGATCAAAGTATGTTGATGCTTGCTATGAATGGTTAGCTCACAGAGTCTGAACAATAAAGGAAATAGTCTGTAAAGAAAGTTCTTTCTACATATAAGGAAACGTTAAAGGATTTCTTTCATCATAAACTAATGTAATTTGCACTTCGATCAAGAAATGTACAATTTGATTTTTTTTCTTTCAGATTTACGACTCCATTGGACCCAAAGTAAGTAGATGTTTGTTTATCTTTTGTAATGAATTCAAAACGCATTTTCTTTAAATGAGAAGAAACATTTAAACTTTTCACATACAAATAATTCTACATTTTTGATTTTTGGTTTTTAACAAAGTAAAAACTTTGAAATCTCTAATTGATTCAGAAGGTGAACATCATTATTGAATTTCCATTCATTGTGTTACAGACTGGCTCAAAAACTAGAAGATGTGCGGAATAGGAGGAGGTGATGTTTTGGGTTCGATAAGAGTTACCAACATCGTCCAGTTTTACCTAATGAAACGAAAAGCATTGTACATTATTCCATGGATTATTTATTTATTATCACCGGATATAAATATTGTTTGTTTACACTGTAACTTTATTGGTATCGGCAACTCAACAGATAAACACTTGAAGTGATAGATGGCACTATTGTGTGCAAATTAACCAAAAAACATTCTAGCCAGGACCCATGAGTCTGCAATTTTAAAGATGCAAGACTTTTTGTTTCAATTTCTTGTTTGTGTTGTTGCTATAAATGATTTTAATTTGGATCATTACATATTTACGTAAGAGTTCAAGGATTAGTTAGGATTGAAAATTTCTTGATTATCTCAACCGCTTGATAAATATGGGTCTCAATGCAAGGGATATAACTCCAGATTTAGCGGAACAGTGTTCATGTTGTTGATCGTTATAAGCATATTTGTTTTTCGTTCACCTACGCATATGATTATAAAATGATAAATGATTGAGATTTCCATGCGTGGCATGCTAATTTATAAGTTTAATGTACATACTAGATGTGGCAATTTTAAAAGCACTTTCTGTTCGAAATGACTTTATTATTATATATGTTTTTTTCAATTCTCGGCCCACCGGTCCATAAAAAAACAAGGGGAGGAACTCTGAAAGACGTAATTGTGTGTCTGCCCTATCTTTGAAAAATAAGGCTATTTTTGTTTCTCTGATTTGATCGACCGGAACTTTAATTGGAACAATTTGGGAAGATGTCATATAAGCAGTCTTTAATAAAGTTGCTCTCGGTTTTTGTTTTTTTAAATATGATGACTTGGTTTTAAATATTAAGTGAGTGTTGCAAAAGGCCAATGCACATTGAAAATTCCAGTGTAAATAACTTTGTACTTTGTATTGCTCAAACTGAGTATTGTATTGGCTGGTCTTACATTGGTCCTACTCTTGTGATGATGATGTTCCCATTTGATATCACCTAAATATATATAAATGCCAATAAGTCATAACATTTTTTCTGTAAGAGTAGGACTGTATTATGACATTGCACGCTCTGTTCAAACTCGATCTGTAAGAGTAATGAATGATGTTTTTGAAGTCTTCCTTTTTATTGTGCTTTTTTGGAACCATCATGCATTTTTGCCCATTGTCATATTTTATTTCCTTGCTCGACAGTTAGGCATATGTAAAACTTGCAACGAACACACAACTTCATGTCGAAATCAAACGTTATTACTTAAAGCGTATTTCACGGCGATCATCGCTCAATTTATACTGTATATTTCCATACTCATCGTCTTGTCACTATTATGCTGTGGCGATATAGAAACTAACCCCGGTCCCTTTCATCCTTCTGCTAACTCCTCGTCAATATCCTCTGACGAACCTGTATCTTTCACACATAATAATAATTGCTTATCATTCGTCCACCTGAACGTACAAAGCTTGCGTCCAAAACTAGATGTTCTGTACACCGAACTTTATGAGCATAGTATTTTAGCATTTACCGAAACTTGGCTTTCTGACTCTGATATTGATTCGTCCTTGGATATTTCTGGTTTTCACAGTCCTTTTTGTTACTGTCGTAATGACGCCGTTGGAGGGGGTGTTGCTGTTTATGTAGCAGCCAATCTTTTTGTCAAAAGAAGGTCCGATATTGAAGTTGACGATGTCGAATGTGTTTGGGTTGAAATAGCATCCAAAGGTCAAACATTTCTATTTGGTACTTTCTATAGACCCCCAAATTCTAACATAACTGTATGGACCAAATTTGAGGAATCCATTGGTAGGGCAATTAACTCTAGTATTGGAAATGTTATTATAACTGGTGATTTTAACGTCAATTTATTGCAACGCAGTCATAATTTTAACTATTTTGATAACATAATGTACACTTACGGACTTACGCAGTTAATTACTGAATGTACGCATTATACTGAACATTCGACATCCTTAATAGACGTTATATTGGTAAATAACGATTTTATAATAGATCGGTCTTATGTAGGGGAATCGTTCCTTGAC